AACTCCTCTTTCCTTCCACAGAGGAACATGAGCTTAGGTGCAGGAGAAATACCTATTTAGATGTCCACTTAGTAGATATGAAGCAGAAGATTTTCATTTCTCTCCATCCCTTCTGCCAAGACGTTAGTCCGTGTGCTGGTAATTTCCCATCTTGACTACTGTAACCTCTGCCTCTTTATTCCCTTTACCTCTTTGCCACTCCAGTCTGCCCAAAACTCAGCTTCCAAGATTAATCTTCTCACCCTGCTGATCTGACCTTGTTTGCCCTGCATCCTCAATTCCAGTCCTTTTTTTTTTTTCCATTTACTTCCATTTGTTTTCTAACTTCCAGAACTCTCTGTAACTGCCTTTCCCCACCCCTTTGCAACCTGTCCCAAGCTTCCTCCTGACTTCATCTCCCCTTTGTTGCCTTTTGTGCCATCAGTGCCTAAGAGAAGCTTCCTTTGAATATTGAGTGACTTCCTTCACAGTTCCTTCTTTTGAAATCCATCTATTGCATAAAGCAAGTTTTAGTCTTTAACACTTCTTTCTGTGTTTGGTCTAATATGCTTGTACTTTTAGACTGTAAGCCCTTCAGGACAGAGTTCTATCCTTGCTCAGTATAGCTTGCCTGTTGTACAGCACCTGTACACTTCTAGCACTATAAAACAGTCAAGATACCCGTACATTTCCAATTTAAAAAAGTCAGCAATAAATCCAGTTAAATACTCCCTACTCCCTTCCCTTCCCTTCTATTTGTGGCTCCTTTGGGGGTTGGGTTTTTTTTTGTTATTTCTTAGCCAAGCCCATTGTTTCAGTTTTTACGTCCTGTGATGTGGAGGCTTGGGCTAAAGCACACTTTTTGCTTCTCCTAAGATCTGTGCTTCCCTTCCCCTGCCTCTCCTAATACCATAGGTACCTGAATCATTTGGACAACGATGAATTTCAGAAAGCCATCCAGGAACTCCAGTTAACAAAGAGTATCTGGACTATTGACCTGGCCTACCTAATGCGGCACTTCGGTGTTAAGCATAAATTTTGCACCCAGACGCTTGGAGTGGACAAGGGCTACAAAAATCAGGTTAGTAGTATTATCTACTGGGAGACAGCAGGCAGTTTTAAAAGCCCTGTGTGTCATGCTATAAAAGCACTGCTGTGTTACTGACAGTTAACCACAGTTCCTGTAAACAAGGTTTGCATATTGCCAAAACTGGCACAAATCAGTTCCAAAGAACTAGATACGATCCCAAATATTTGACACCTTTGATTCCATAATATGAATTGTTTAAAAAGTTATCACATAGTGCTTGTGAAAGGTTCCAGCCTATTTGACAGTCTTGGAGACTGAAGCCCTCTATATCTACAGAACAGTTACAGCCCGGGCAGGAACAGTGCTAGCTTCCACACTTTCCCCACCAGCGTGCCTTAGCCCTGACCTGGAAGAACCACCTCTAGAGGTGAGAGGGGAACTCAGCCTCCATGTCCATTGAGAGCTTGGCCTCTTCAGGATTGCCAAGGGGGCCAGTAAGGGCCTGTACTGGTGATGGCTTTTCTAATGCAAGCTCCTGCCCAGTACAAACCAGACAGGCTTCTTTCATGTAGGCAGTTGAATAACCACTGGATGGAAATTACAGCAATAACTGACCAGGAGTGAATTTAAACTTGTAATTTAGAGTAGGAATCCTCATCATGTTACTAATGAACCGAGGGAGAGATCTCTTGTCCATAGCCAGATCTCCAATCTATGCAGGCCCTTGCTGGCAGGGATTGTAACTGGTGGATTACCTAAGGTAAACATCATTCCAGTTCATAATGTCTATTGTCTCCACAGTCGTTTTACAGGAAGCACTTTGACACAGAAGAGAATCGCGTGAATCAGCTCTTTGCACAAGCCAAAGCCTGCAAGGTGCTGGTGGAGAAGTGGTAAGCTTATTGTTTTCTTCCCTTTCTCTTTGGAGATTCTGTGGGCCCCATGCTTTTCTTGGAGTCACCAAGCTAAACTGTTAAGAGAGACCAAAATCAAGTCCTGAGCCTTTTTTGTGAATTACAGAGACTTTCTACCATATCTGTCTCAAAAAAAAAAAAAAAAAAAGTGGATATCAAGGGTTAATAATGAAGTTTGAGGAAAAACAGTCACGACACAGAATAAGTGATTTGAAAATGCTGACAGGAGTTGACTACTGTTTATGTTTTGAATTTGATTATCCATTAAAATTACCCAGGAGGGAGTGCCTACAGCACTCTAATTGGCCATTGTTGGAATTAAGGAAGAGTGCTATGTGGGCACACAACCCATTGTTCCCAGAGCTATGCAAACATTATAGCTCTCTGTTCCTACACAGATGCACAAAGAAAAAGCTAGAACGCGAGCTTTTGCCAAGGGGAGGATGAAATAAGGAACTGCTATGAAAGAGCTGCAAGCCCAGGGGAAGGGGAAAAACTGCAGAATTGTTTCACAACCAGCATTGATATTCTACATGGGAAATAACCGAATGTCCATGTTCAACTCCAGTTACATCCCTTTTTATAGTGAAGTTGGATTTGGATCTCTGTAGTCGAAGTGGGGTAAATGATCAGGAGTAAGAAAAGAGCGGGTACAGGGCAGCCACAACAGCATTTGAATGTTGCAATGCAACTTTCATTTGGCAAAAACGTTAAGTGTCCTTTTTAACGTACAGAGTTTGTATGGTACTATCTGTTTAACTAGAGCTGTAACAGGACAGACGGGACAGTCAGTCCGTTTTGCTTTAGCAATCTGAAGATCGTGGCCTTGATCAAGGCAAGGACAGAGAGCGTGTCTACCTGTGCAGTACTGAGGCTGGCGCATCAAATAGGAGTGACACCGGAAAAGATTATAAAGCACAAGTTAGGTAGTACACACAGCCTGGACATCTGGAATGTATCCAAGGGATGAGTTTCTAATGCATATGGAATACACCACCTGCCTCAGGGAAGGACAGCTTTTAAGAGATGAGATTATAGGTTATGTTTGGTTAATACTCATTCTCTGTAGGAGGTACTATAGAAATAAAGCCTTAAGAGCATCAGGTAGTCCAAAATTGCAACTGGGAGAAACATTCCTGTGTGACAGAGGCAAATTTAGGCATGTCTTAAGTTGGTTAGTGATTATACAGTATCTTTAACCACTAAGTCGATAAAGATTCAGTGCTTCAGAGATAAGCTTTTCTAAGGGCAGGAGAGAACACTTTACTTACAATTTTCCCACAACAGAATTCTCAAGTTACTGAATGAGTTGCCAACTCCTTTAATACTCTTGTCTGGGACTTCTGATACATTCTGAGATTACATTTATATTGCTGCAGAATCCAGAGCTGTTGCTCTGCACTTCAGTAGCAGCCATGAGATCAAAAGGCCTTGAATGGCACAGGTTTTGTCAGGCTTTGTCTGCAGCAAATTCTGCAGGGTTTAACAGCAAGAAAACTGTACCTGATGTAAAAATAACCATGCAAACTGCACATCATAAGTACTGTCCATCATCACACACTTAATTGTATACCAATCTCTTTCCTAAACTTGTTAGTAAGCATATCTGATTTTTTTTTCTGCAGCACAGTAACTGTTCAAGACATCCAAAACCACCTGTCCCAAGGTCACGTAGCCATTGTCCTAGTGAATGCAGTTCTGCTACTGTGTGATCTTTGCTCAAGTCCTGTCAAATACTGCTGCTTCCTCCCTATTGGACAGAAGTGCTTCTGCAGGAATCCTGACTACCAGGGCCATTTCATTGTGTTATGTGGCTACAACAAAGCCTCAGGGAGTATTTACTACAACAACCCTGCCTATGCTGACCGTGAGTAGCCTGTTCCTTTTGGGTGGATTCTCAGCCACCACATTACTAACGTGTCTGTTAGACAGAGCCACAGCTGGTCTTCCCCTAATAGCATGCGTATATTTCAAGCGTCACTAACCAATCTGTCAGAAGGGTTTTGCCACATTAATTAAATTAGTGCTGCATTTTGTGCTGTGATTTACTTAAAACCTTAAGATACACATTGTAGCAAACTTGTTTGGCGTTCAGATGGGTTAGTGAGGGATGCTGAACTGTCGTTCAGAATGTAACAGGATGGCCAATTTAGTACCTATTTACAGCACTACTTCAGCGAGCACTGTCTTTGAGGTGGAAAGATCTGAGTAAAGCTGTAACCTAAGTTGACAGGTCTGGTCTGTATACTAGTTACTTTTCTTTGTAGAGCCTGCAAGACTCAGTATAAGAGTCTTTCGCAGGCAAATTCTTCTGACTTTTTAGTAACATTTTGTTCCTCCTTAACAGGAACATGCTGCACCAGCATCAGTAACTTTGAGGAAGCCAGGACAAGTTATGGCACTGATGAAGATATTCTGTTCATCTACACAGACAGCTGACATCCACACCTGATACTTCTGCGCCCTTCCTGTGCAGCCTGCATGGCAGCGGGCTGCTTGTCTCAGGACTCCCCCTGCAGAGACCTTCCTCCTGAATTGCAGTGGGATCTTAAACAAGGGAGGCTTTATAGACATTGACAGGACTATATTGCAGTGCTGTCTTTACCTTTTTTTTCCTGATGATGTATCTGATTTTGCGATGTATGTCTCAGTTTTTTGTTGGGTTTTTTCCCCCCTCTTTTTCAACATTGCACATTTGACAGCAGTTTTAAAATACAGGCCCATAGCCTGTTCACTTTGAGCTTATTTTCAAATTAAACACATGAGAAAAAACCCACCAAATTTATGAACTTTAACACTTGGTAATACATGCATAGGTTTAGGTAAACAAAACCAGGAAAAAAAAAAAAGATAGAAAATACCTGTTTCTCTCTCTCTTGTATTACATAAGGAAAATAATATTAACTTAAACCACTTTTAAATAATAAAAAATGCCTTGCTGGCTCATCAGTATTGTCTGCACTGTAGGAATGAAACACATTTACTTAAGGAAACTTCCCATGTACCAAATTCACCTTACACAGATTAACCATTTATAATTTAATTTTGAATCGTGGTTCTTGGTATTGTTCCCTTGTACTACAAACTCAATCTCTTTCGGCTAAATCTCTAGAATGACTGCTCCAAGATCTGTACTGCCCCAAAAGTTTAAGTGAAGTTTTGCTCGTACCTGGAACTCTTTATTGCTCTTTGGAAAAACCTCTGAACATTATTCCACCCACATGTGCCAGTTTCTGGAATCCATTCTAAATATAAACTTATTAAGCAAATACAGAACACTGTCATCCACACTAATAGTATACATTTTGTCTATAAATTGTAAATATCTGACAGCATATACTTGATTGTAACTAAAAATGCTGAATCATAATTTGAGCCAAATTTTGCTATTGGTGTTAGTTCAGTGACCTTTTAAGAAAAGATGGAATACAAACGTCTTTTTGCTACAAGGAACTCAGATTTTCCAGCTCTTATAATACAGCTGTATTTGGATTACGTTGGAGTTAGCGTATTCAGACATTATCAAGAGAAATTGTTAGCAGCCCATTCATAATCCTTTCATGGGTCTATTTAGTTTGCTGAGGAGCACTGTAAAGTGAAAGAATCAGACTCATCCATCAGAATTTCCTACAAGTCTTGATCTCCAGTCCTGCCTATGTTGAAGTGGGTAGAAAAATCAATACTAATGTAAAGCTCGCAAAATTTTATTTTGCATTTAAGACAGAAATCCTACACCTTTGGCATGGTTTTAGGAAAATAACTGTTCAAGTTCTGGAACTGCATGGAATAACAGTAAGAGGACATTATTATTTAGTGGTGGAAATAATAAATAGGAATCTACTTTCAGCATGGTGACAAATTTTTCTAAGAGAAAATATTTTATCAGTTGTTGACTTACTGAAAAGTATCTGGAAAGCGTTCAATAAGTATGCTTAGTAGAATCAAGAGTGCTCCTTTGTACAAAGGCTAAAAATAGTAACAGACATTTAAAAAGCAGTAGCCTTTAAAAAGTTCCAAACAAAAAGTCTGTGACAAGAAATTTTCAGTGTATCAAATTTTGCTTATCATTGGTGAGGCTGGAATCCATTCTGGCACTTACACTTACAAAATGAGTAAAAATTAGGATGTGATTTGTCAGCAGTAGAACCAGTACATTAGTGCCACCAGAATCCCAGAAAAAAGGTACAAAACCTATTACAGAAAACACCTTCCCACTCCTCCAGAGTAAGTCACCAGAACGCTACTGATCTGGGAATTTTTATGTCCAAGTCCAAATTAATGATGTTTGATTCAGAGAGATTGTATTAGCTATGTTACTAATTAACAGGTATGTAAATTACAGGTTGATAGAGTACCTTAACACATGCATTTTCAGGTAGGTAGGTCATTCAATACCATTAAACTGCCACAGGGTTAATTTTAGAGCAGGCTTGGTTAGGTAAATAAAAACAATTCTTGCAAAAGGCTTGTAATTGACATTTAGCATCATACTGGTTCAGTTATCCAAATGCAAATTGTGAGCTTATACATAAAACATGAACGAAAGGGCATGCTTAAGTGTTCTCAAGTGCACAGATAGGTATAACAATATTGACTGTTAAATGTTTGGTACCCAGGGTTAAAATACTTCAACTAATACAGACACAAAAAGAGAGCTCCACCGGTGGCATCAGGATCTCTTATAGCCGCCAAATGGAAGATAGCTATGAGATGAAAAACACAAGGAACCAAAAGCCAAGTGAAAAGACTGAGTATTTATATGACACAATTTCAGATTAAAAAGAAGCTCACTGTGCAAGCATCCACAACATCTGCATTTTCTGAAACTGTGTTTCCCATTACAAGGTTGTCTATCAAAATACTCATTCTGAAAATGTTTTGTCACTTTGTTTCCTTCATGGTGTCAATAGCAAAGGAAGGGGTATTTTACATGCAGGGATTTTATACATAAATATATTTTTATTTGTAATTAAGCCATTCTCAATAAAGGTTTAAAGTCACAGGTAACCCTGTAAAATAATGTCGCAAGTGCATTTATTAACTAGCTTATGAAAAATGCTGGAATGTAGAGTTGTTATATAGTGTTGTATATTGGTGTTACATACTTGTAGTATGTAAGTGTTATATCTTTAACTAGAAATGGCACAGCTGAAATTTTAATTTGGAAAAGAAGATTTAAGAGTTCAACTATTTATTTCAGCTATAAATTCTTAGTTAATAGGCTGTAAATTATATTCATTCTGCACTTCCTGAACACCTACTACATCACCTGAATCATACAAAACAAAATTTCAATATACACCAGTAGCTGTGAATAGCAAATGTAGTGTTATTATGCATGTTCTACAGCTGTTTTATGTACTCTGCAACCACTGAGCATCGTACTGGAGTGCAGCTCCAGGGAAGTAGGTTTTGTTACCATCCTGATCCCTAATTGCATCTCTGTGCCTTTCTGTTCACAATGAAAAGTATGCAACTGCATCAGGCTTGCCTATGCTTTAGCTAGTGTTTCTAGTTTTGCCTCACAACACAGCACTGAGCTTCTGAAGATACTAAAAGCATCTGTCTGCAGCATTACTTTTGCACCTTGAAGGAGCCCATCAAAGACATTGGTCCAACTGTGGTTGTAATACACAGTGTAAAGGGAAATAGTAAAGAACAGTGGTCTTGCTTTACAGTACCCACAGATCTTCAACCAAGTAGGACATCTAGGACATTACTTAGCTCTAACAGAACAGCCTCAAATAGTACAGAATTTAAAAAAAAAAAAAGATGAAAACAATTCGTGTCTCCTTTCTCCCTAAATTATGCGTTTGGGTAGAGGGTAAAAACTGGAAAGCAGAAGTAAATAGACACACAATGCAAAGCTTATATAACAACTTTTATGTCGTCTGAACTCATCATCTCCATCAAACTATATCTCAATACACAATACTGAGTAAGTTTAATCATCATTTTATATCAATGTATTCCAACTGGATATAGTTCTAGTAAGGAACAAAAGTTTGGACTCATTAGTGTAAATGACCAAAAAAACCCCCACAACCAAGAAGCCATTTTTCAATTACTTTACTTAACACAGTTTTGAATCCTATTATTTAAAAGTTGGCTCCAGGAAATCAAAACGACAACATTAAAATAACAACTTGTGATCCACAGTAAAGCAATCATCTAACAGTACCTTTTAATTTGTTACGTAACGTTTGATTGTAATGAGATGCTCTCTCTTACTCTTTGATTATATTGGGTATAAAATAAGGCTGGACTGCTTCAGTGAGCTTCTCTGCATACATTTCATATCTACCAGTCATCTGGAAAAGAAAATCAAAGCTTCAGTTCTTTTAGTGAGCTACGAAAGTACTTGAGTAGAAAATACTTATATCCACCTTTTATGATGACATATTATTTAATTGCCCGAAAAAGTAAAATCATAACTCACTCAAAATGCAAGACCTCCAGTGCCTTAGGACAAATTTGATAGACTTTCATAAAAGAACTCGTATTATGTTGCCTAGAACTGTACTTCTACCCCCCCAAAAAAGAGACGTGCATTTCCACTCTAAAAAGTAAAACTTTAAAATTAACACCTTCCTGCTTTGCAGCTCTCCTTCACTGACAGTCATGTCTGCTGACTAATTACTTGAGGCTATTTTGGTTATCCTGGATAGCTGAAAGTTGAATGTGAAAGGTGGACTCACTTTCTTATGCATCAACAATATTCTCATTTAAGTAAGTTATGTAAATGAAGGCAAAGGAGTGTATCTGTAATTATATCTTCACATTGTGTCCTTGATAACTGATGAACGCTGCTGCCAGCAATAAGTTTGCACAAGTGCCACTGACGGCATTTGGTTTGCTCTTACCTTATCTATTAATGATACGAAATACTATCACTGCTTTGGGTGATACAGTAGGCTAGGAGGCTGAGATACAGCATTTTACGTAGAGAACTATCCTCTTCTGAAGTGTCCAGCCTACAACATTGGCTCTGAGAGCAGGGAACTACTTCTTACCAGAGTGTAACGAGGACAATTTGTTTAACTATGATGCTGCTGTAAGTTTAGCAAAGATTTTCTACTTAATGTCCCTTTCAGGCATCATTGAATGCAAATTGCAGATTCCAGAGCAGGTTAAATAGGTTCCTACTTGCTATCAAGGGTTTTCTGTAGTGGATAAACGATGACTTCATAGTTCCTCATTCCCCTCATATCAAAAACTACCTGTCTTGGCCACAAATGAGAGGAAAAGGAAATAGATATCCCATGTCATATAAACAAAAGCCACAGCTGTGCCTTATGTGCCAAAAGACCAACAATAGCAATCCACACCACCAACATAAAACTAAGGTGCTGAAAGCACAAGACTTGAAGACAATAAAAAATAAGCAATTCCATACAAAACAGCTAAAGCCTGTGTTTTGCTTTTACTGTTTTTCCTAATCAATACAATTGCTTTTGTTCAGATAACCCTACTAAGCTGTTATAAGCAATGCTCCACGTGCTTCCTAACACACTAAATCTCTGCAATAAGGGCCTCAGATTTCAGTGGCAAAACAAAATTAAATGCCCGCCTGACTTAAAAAAAAATCGGAATCTCTCAGTACAACTTACAATTTAATTCCCCCATGTCAATAACCATATACCTACCACACACATCTGTAAAATAACAAGTGCAATTCTGTCCAGAAAACGACCTGAAATGACTTTTTGTCTTTAGTCCCTATGTATGAATTGGCAGCATTACCAAAAAATTCAGCTGTAGCTAAGAAATTACTATGTTTTAACTAAGAAAGTTTATTCAGCATTTCAAATCCATAGAACAACTGTATTTTTACATCAAATTTAAATCAAAACACATTATATATTGCACTATATTGTAATGCACAAGGTGGTTCCAAATAAACCAGCTCTATAAAATAAATGTCTGCTCTCAGTAACGTTATGTGCAAAAACTGACACTCCTTGAAAATGTTTACTTATTTTAAATACTAGTTTGTCACTGAAGAACCTCCATGTACAGTGATGACTGCTAGCCAGGAGTTCTGGTCTAATTTTTTGGGATTGAAATCATGCTGATCTTAACAGTGGATAGGAAAAAATTCTAGTCTCTACCGGTAATGAAGACTAGAACGAAAGACCTGTTTCCACAGAAGTAAGCAAGATGTTTTCTTCATCAACAAAGCCTATTTAAGGAAGCTGCCATCTCTTTTTTCTACTTTTGCTTGCCTTCTATGTTGTTCCAACAGAATATCTGTGGGGCCTGCTGTAAACTTGATCAGATTAAAAGAAGAAACTAGAGTGTGGTTCATTTGTTTAAAAAAACCCTCAAAATAGAAAAAATCTGGTCACTCCACTAAACCTGTACACAATACAGCACCCCACATAGCTTGTACTGGCACAACTGAAGGGTTAGCAAACTGCAGTGCTGAGGTGGCGATTTCTTAAACCAACACTGCTGCTGGACAAATTAAATCCAAATTATACCCTCAGGACAGATGATCCAAATTTGCTTTACCTTAGAATGCAAAAAAATAGTAGTAAGTTTGCTAAAGCCACGTGGAGAGGCTTGCAGTCGTCTTAATCTGATTTAGATTAATTTAAAAGTGGGTTAGAATGCTTCCGAGATAATATACACAGTTCCCTCTCTGTGGCTTCAACACGTCCACAAATTCAGAGAGTTATCACTGCAAGAAGTTTGCACACAGAAAGTTCTCAGAAGCTTAAAGATTCTTGTGTTCTTGAGTTTTCACTAAATTTCACCAAAACTGACAAGTAAGGCCTATAAGAATATAAAGAACTACCATATTAGGTCAGATCCAAGGCCCATCTCAGTTCAGTGGCAAACGCCTACATACCTTGCATGAGGAAACCACACACACTTCCCCTAGCAGTTCTCAGAGCTCCTGGCAATCTGCACTTAAGGACCAAAGGCTAAGTTTTAAATTTAAAAGCTATTGGCCTAGTTTCCCTGAATTTGGCTATTCCTTTTGTGAGTCCATTTATGCCTTTGGCCTCCACAACATCCTGTTAAATTAGTTCAACAATTTATGCTTTGGACTGTTTAAAAAAAAAAAAAAAAAGACTGCCTTTTAACTATTGTAAGATTATATGATCATTATGGAAGTTTGTTTGTTCCGATATCCTATATAAGTTTGTTTCTTTATAAGCAGCCTTACCTTAAAATTCCATTTGTCACTGACTTGCCTGCAAAGATTTAGATCCATCTCTACCACCAAAAGTCCATCCTGAGTGCGAGAGAGTCCTGGGGTCCTACTGCCATCTGGTGCAGCTACGTAACTTGAGCCATAAAAATGGCCCAAGTCATGGTGTGCTTAAAGAAATGTTTAAAAAGCATGTAATGCCAACTGCAAATAAGTATACAACTTAACACGCAGTGTCCCATAAAAGCTGGCTCAGTTTCTTGTGGTTGCTCGCTCACTGTGCTTTAAGCAAGATATCATCCTGAAGAGTCACAGCACAATGCTAAGGTAACTGTAGTTTTGGCCAGTAGTTGCTTTCATGCATGCTGCAGCCTTCACATATATCGAATTAACAGGAAAACTCACTGCATTGCTTTTTAAATAACATATTATTATGCTTTCCCATTATTAAGTCTCTGAACTAAAGTAAAGGCTTTGCTTTCATTGTTTTTTATTTAGCATTTAAATTAATTCTAATTGTCAAATCATACATTTCCAAACCAGCTAACAGAGATGCACCCAATCCATTTTCAATACAGAGTCAGAAGTGAAAACACTGGGATTTGAGGCACAGAAAAAAAAAAATAAATCTTACTTCGTATTGCACAACTCTGAGTTGTGCCAAAAATCAGCTGCATCTGTTGTGCTACTAAGCTGACCTTTTTGATGCAGCTGCTAGAAACACTTAACTCCAAAACTAGCTAAAAAAAAAAGGCTCAGGCGCACTCCAGATTAAGCCAGAAGCCATCATGGTTATCACAAGACAAATTATAGTGTTTCAACATGCAACTGAAGTACATACAAGCAAATCTTATGCTCTTCTTTGAGCATTCTCTTTAACTTCCAGCAAATCTGTGAAACAGGGCAAAATGACTTGGCCGGGGATTCAGGCTAGGGCTATTACTGTTAATACTCTTAAAACTACAAATAAAATATCATGCATGCACTGACAACACAGGCTAGTTTGTGGGATTTCTGTCTTCCAGTCCTATAGCACTGCATTGACTCCAAAAATCTTAGTCCTCTGAAAGCATACAGAAACCTTAGGTATGAACTTCTGGTGACCCCATACTGTGGGTACTACCACCTTAATAGGAAATGCTGTTTTCTCCAGCTTACAAAACAGCAGGCTTAAGTAGGGCAGTCGCTAGCTACCATAGCTGTCATGGGATAGACACTTGCAGCAGAGCTATCGTTTCTTCAGACTTTCTAGTTACCAATTACTAGCAACCACTGAATGTGATTTCTGAACATACCTTTTCCACCATCTCCGGAAGTAAAGGCATTTTTGTAGTACTCCTGTGAAATAAGAGGAATCCATAGGTGGCAGTATAATTCCGTTTCATTCAAGAAATCCTTGCTAGTCTACCATATTTTGTATGGAAGTTTATATAAATCTATTAAGAATTTTCCTGGCATACTATCAGCCCTGTCTAAAGGGAGTCATCAAAGGGGCCTAGTTTCTATGATGGATAGACTAGAAAACAAGATCTTTTTGTATCACTGCCTGTTGTTCATAAACTTTGGGGAATGTATCTTGTATCAGTTTCACAAGTCTAAAGAAGAGGCAAAAGAGGAGACATTTAACCAAACACATCTTTGTGGATCACAAATGAAGGCAAATGTATTCACATAATGGCAACAACAAGTCTGGATTTTTGCAGAGAACCTTATAAAGAACGCATATGTAGGGTATGAAGACTAATTTGAAAGCAAGAATTACCTATTTTGTGCAATATTAATTTTCATTATAGAATTTCATTGTAGTATCTGTACAACAGCAACAGTTGCGTACAACTGACTTGAGGATATATTTTATTTTCAGTCATTTTGGCTAAAAGAATACTGATTTTACGATAGAAACTAGGAGAATTAGCAAAAGGGCGGGTAGCTATTGCAAAGGGAGCAATTCAAGAACAGGAAGCAGCTGCAACCAAAAAATAGGCTGCCAGCAACAAGGCAGCTCTCAATCTCTTTATCCCTGCTCATCTTCAAATCATATTATAAACACTAATACAGTAGTTACACAGTAGAGGAATCTACGCACTCAAGTGCTATTCAGTTCATTACCTTGAATTAACTCATGCTACAATACCTAAACAATGAAATGAAATAACAAAGTAAAGATACATACCGTTCCTACCCTGTTGATGGGACATGTAAAGCAGTGATTAGCTATGGCAGCATTTCTTGCTTCAATTGGCCACAGCGACTCGCTGGAATACACAAAAGAGGGCAGGTATTCACTACACGTCTATTTCAGAGCTAAATTTAGATTATGACTGTCTCACACTGTACATTTTCTGTCAAAGAAGCCTAAGTTAGGTGCCAAGACTGATCTTGCTCTTACACTCAAAATCTCCCCACAGATAGAGCCAAGCACTATAATTATTTTCTGCTCAAATATAGGTATAAACAATTCGATCTGACAACCTGGTAAATATGGCTTCGTCATGAAAAAAAAATAAATTAACACATCTCAAGATTTCCAAAGGAATTAAAGTGTAAAATGTTTTACTCTCCAAATTACGCAAAGGATCTACCCATGTGCTTTCACATTCTGTTAATTCTCAATATACCAAACATCATTCTGCAGCAAAGCTGTAAGAAATTCGTACAAGTTGCTCCTCTTTCCCCAAATGGTCCAGGAGGAGAGGCTTTTGCAGCAGTGAATGAAAAAAAAAATCATTATGGGAACAATACAAAAATGAAAGGAAAAGAAAAAAATCCATTTCCACCAAAATTCCCTACTTCTGTTAGTTCAACCACAGTTTTCATAGGACTTTCCATTAAGTCATTTTCCCATGATGGGTTGATGAAAAAGAAAGCATGTTTAACAAAAGTATCCTAATAATTTCTCCGTAATTCTCTACTAAACCAGTCACTAAATTTACATAAACCCAAGAACTGAGAGATTAAAAAGTTCCTTCTCTTTTACAAGCCTCGACCTCTTTTCCAAAGGAGAATTCAATTCTGACTGATGTTTCAAACTGAAATAGTCATCTTTTTATTAGACAGTTTGATATACAAGGATCAGACTAGTTCATATGAGGCCTGGAAGTACTCAGAGCTCCAAAATAAAGGTGATACAATTTGTTCACTCCTGTGACAACATGTACCTGCCAGATTCTGAGTACCAGACAAGGCTGCAAGCATCTGACTCATTAATCTCCCAGTCAGACTCAAGAATCTTAAGCGATGGTCACTGGACTGATTGAAAGGACTTGATTTATTGCCTCTTTTCCCAATTGCTTTGAGTCTGGCAGGCAGCTCTTCTAAGAAAAAGGGATTTTATTGAAAAGCTCCAGCAAATTACGATTTCACAGAAGAGAGACAGGGTAAAAGAGGCTATAGCCAAGAAACAACCCCAGAGACAGTTTTTACTTGGGCCTCAAGAGTCCTCTTCCTGCAATAAAAATTATATGCTTAAAAACAATCAAGTGAAAGCCAATAATTAGGAGAGCCTGAAGCACCCAGAGTACCAATGAAGTGCTGGATGACAACAGGGTAATTTCTGTTTGCTCTCCTGTTAATGGGCTCTAAATGGACAAACATCACAAATATTATTCTAGTAGTGACATAAATGCCCCAAAAGCATTGTGTATTCATTCAGCTCTTTTTCAAAGGACAGTTTCCAACATTACTCAATCTAAATTATCTTTTATACCAAAAACTATTAAAGGCAGTTTGAATGACAAAATCCTGCATCTACAGTTCTACTCTCCAGGTTTGTAAATTCATGGTTCTCTGCATCTGAACTGGCTGCAAGTATGAAAATTTTAGGCCTCTAATCTGTTTTTCACCACTTCTACTCTGTTATGAATGTTCAATGTCCTCAGAATTTTCTAGCTGGTCAGCAACAAAAACAAAAGAAATATTCTTGAACCTTATTACCTTATTACAGAGACAGAAAAACTCTGAATTTAGATTAAACAGATAAAGGGAGGGAATTGGATGAATCCTGAAGATATGGAAAATGCTGAAAAAGATACTCCTATTACGTTTCTAACTCTTCTGTCATGTTGTATACCCAATTAGCAAGTTTATACTGCCTGAAAATTTCATACATTAAGGTTTACAAAACTGACACTGGAAAAATCTCTTCCTCTAGGTTTAAAGAAATAAAAATGAAAGTATTCTGCAATTAGTCTACACACACAACCCCAGCTGAAGGGACAGAGAAGAGAAATGAGAAAGAATTTTTAGTATTACAAGAGATCGGTATGTCTTCTCTTTTTGCTTGCTACTGGATATTAGACTTCTATTACAATATTAGTATCGCTGAAATATGCTCCTGTTACCTTCCTATAATTTACCTTTTGAGCTGGAAATCAGACAGTTCAGCTAGCCCAAAATATGGTATTTTAACTCAAAAAGGAAATGGTTTTGTTCCAAAGAACCCTGCAAAGCCAGACTTCCCTCCCCCTGCCCCGTACAAAGCTAACCACTTATGCTGAAAAGAGTTAAAAATATTAATATTTATAATTAAACATAAACTACCATCAATTCCTCAGTCATATTTATGTAAACATTATACAATAATAAATTACTTTTCAGAGCCTATTGTTACCAGGAAAAGAAGAAAGAAAAAAAAAAGCGCACAGTTTTATCATGTGTTAAGCTGATGTGTAGACACATTCTGGAATCCCACACCTCAATTTACAAATAGTCTAATTTGGAAGTATTGAGTAGTACAGCAAAGAACAGAATATGAGAATGAAAGGAAGGCACGGCGATTTTGTCAAGAAGAGTGGTATAAAGAACAACTGAAACCATTTCTACAAGATTTCTACCTAAAGAAAGACCCCCCACTGGCCCCAAAGAAACGCAGTTATTTTGCATCACATTATAGCATCCCAAGCAATACACAGCCTGTGTCAGACAATGCTTTGGAAGCATGACACATTCAAAGGTTATTATATTGAAACGTGACTGAGGCTGATAATGTATAGGCAAAGACTATTCAAGATCTAATCCACAAATTAATCATTATGGGCTAGGTAAGAAATGTATTTTCTTAGCTCACTGAGCTGTTTTTCTTTTTTCTTTTAGGAAATCAAGTCAGTAGAGTACAATTAATGTCAATCTGCAGAAGATTAATCTCAAGGGAAATAGTTTACACTGGTTCAGTCTGGTTCAAGAGGCCTTATAATCACAAAACTGCCAACAGTTAAAAAAAAAAAACAAAACAATGTTTCTGAGAAAAGGATTTCTCAGCTTGGCTCTGACACTGCAATTTGATACCATACTTAACTGGCTCCTAGGTGGACGATGCGGGCTGGCAAGCTAAGCCTGAATGTAAATTACTACTGCTTATCATAAAGCAAAAATATTACATAGATAATCTAAATAAACTCTCATTAGTTTTCAAAACACCAGATGGATGCTGGTTAACTCCGTCTCTGAGACAGAAGACCTGCAGACGTAGAACTAAAGTTCTGGACTAGAATTAGTGATTATGAACAGACTGGTAGCCCAAAACTCCGGATGGAGAAGAATGCAGATTCCTTCGTGAAGGCAAAACAAGGAGGTGATACCTGAGGTTCCAACACCTCTGCAAGGCACCCCTGAGCCCCAACTGGTTCAGATGTTCAGGTGGCCCAGAATGCATGCAATTGCCTAAATCAGCTTGTGTTTTACCTGAGTGTTCCAATAGTGGCTGAAGGGTTGAAGATGATCTCTGCTCCATTCATACTAAACATTAGCCAGTTCAAAGGGTGATGGCGCCCATAGCAGATATTCACCGCAATTGTTCCAAACTGTGTCTGAAACACTGGGTGTCCTGTATTTCCTTCCATATAGTAAGTAGACTAGAAACAAAAAACCACAAATGCAGACTTCTTAAAAAAGCAAAAAGAAATATCTCCAACATTGCTTTGACACTCCGCAGTTTCTGATTACCAGCTTCAAGTCATTAGACCATGAGCAAAGACAACACCTTTCATTTAGTACATAGCTGCACTGTAATAAGTATATAGCAAAAAGCAGCTCCTAGGCTGCTGAGATCAAATTCAAGCCCCTTTCTGTTTCCCATCACTCATACTACTTTTAAGCACTGTCTGACTTTGACACAAAGACTTCTATTAATGCTAGAAACTTCTATGGAAGCTTAAAAGAGTTTCAGAAATTGACAAACTTTAGGGACCTCTCTTAGTACTTTCATCACATAAGAAAATTTTCCTAAGTCATCACGATCCTTTGATTCTGATTAAAGAGATGATGAACTCTGTTGAAAGGACAACAAATTCCTTTACATTCACCTGTTATGTAATGACATGCAGTAATTTTATGAATGTTATAAGCAAGTATCAGTACGTAGCTAAGACTGGTTATTTAAATTTTCTGTATGCCTGTTGCTCTAAACAAACAGAAGGATTGAAACTACCACCAGGAAAATCACAGGATAAATCTAGAGAACACTCCTTAAAGAAACTGGAGCCAACTGTTGGCTTGAAAGATCCCATTTACCATATGCTGTAAGCTTTCGCCTTATCCTATCAAACATTTCTAAACAATTAGAAATGCATTGGTTCCTGTAAAGGGCAATAGTGAAGAGAAGGACAGGGCATTGTTAACAGCTATCAAGAGAGATAAACATACAAGGAGATATTCTGAATGAAGTGTACAGAAATGGTTCTTCCCAGATACAAGACAAGGGTATGTGTGGAGTCACTGACAGCTGCCTGTTTAGTGCTCAGTGGTAGTCAAAAACCCAAGCAAATCTCAGGACATCAACAGGAAGGGTACTGAAATGTCACAGAAAACATTGTTTTTCTGCTTTATAAGAATTCTGTGTGCCCATGGCTTGAGTACTCAGGGGAATTCTAGTGTCTGCATCTCAGTAATGATATACAAGAGATGGAATAAGCAAAGGCAACTGAAATGCTGAAGGGGATGGGGCAGCTCCCTTGTGAGCAGCAACTAAAAAGGCTCTTCAATCTGCAGACAGAAGGCTGAGGGCAATATTACAAATGAGATTTACAAAATCACAAAGGTAGTGTATAAGATGAATGACATACAGAAATCCCAAAGCAGCAGCAATAGTAGGTATTGACTGAAATTACACTCTTGTACTTGTTTTCAACTAAAATAACTTTTTTCATGTAGCAGGCAGTGCACTTCTGAAATTGCTTCTTTGTGAAAGCAGGTATTATCACCAAGTTCAGAAGGGACTACACAAAGTCGTTGATAAAAGAACTGCAGATAAGAAATCAACTAGAGAGGAACATGCCACCCAACATCCCTAATAGGACAACTGTGGATACCAAGCGAGTACAAAAGTTGCAGAGTGGCCAGACTTACTCCTAACACTACCTTTTTGTAATGATCTCAGAGACAGAAAAGCAATGTACATAATCCACCAGCCTGACCCAACAGGGCGTGCCTCTTCTCATTTAAGACGGGTGTGTTATAAAACAATTCCCTTTTTATTGAAACTATCCGTCCATTGTAACAACCACTGCCATTGGTCTTAAAAGATGCAGAACCACATCAGGCCTGAAGCACGCACAGTTACAGCCAGGGAACAAACTAGCGCCTCATCGCAGTGTAGGAGAATGGCATGATAGATACAGGGGGATCTTCTTCTGAAACCAAGAAGGACTAGAGGTTCAGTATGCCCACTAAATGTGACATCTCATGTTTCTTATCAGGTCTCATGAATTTGCACAGTCCCTTGGGCATTGATTTTATCCCCTTTCATGCCTGTAGAAAGTACGTCATGTGGTGGGCACTCACACAATCCTTTTTCAAAACAATTCTGCTGATTGAGTATATTTCCATTTTTTCTTCTATTCTCCACTTTCTTTTATTACAATGGGAGAAGAAAAACAAAAATGCTGTTGCTTCAGGGAATTCATCAGTTCTTAGTTCTTTATGCCTCACCAGAGGTCACAATCATCTCCACAGCAACAAACTGTGATGTCTCAAGGAGGATTGATTTGTTTATTTACATGCCCTCCCACACAAGGCTGAATAGGTTACAGACCAGTCCTTTTCCATTTAGTTCTCACTGATTCAACAAGGATGGTTTTAACAAGGCTCCTTTCTCTATCTGCTCTACAGAGACAATCCACAAAAATAATTTCAAATTCAACCCTTCCTTGGGGGTTAACTTTGTTGATAAGGAAAACAACATTAAAGTAACAGAGATAAGCATAATCCTTGCCTTGGTGGTTTCTAAAGTTCCTCTATCAGAATTGCTCAGCTCAGAAGAATGGACTTAATGCTTTGCTAACAAAACCAGCTAAAAAGACAGCACTGTTTTGGGTAAACACTACTCGATTCTATAACAAGGTAGATAAAACAGGAAATGTCAATCATTATAGTATACCTGCAAGAAATAAATAGATTGTTTTGTGGTAATTCTCGCATTAGGATTATAAGAACTCCTTTTAGGAATTATGCAAAACTCTCAATGAAACTCTATTTATACTTCACATGGAAAAGTAAAAGTATTTCCCTTTTTCAGATGCCTTTCATTATAGTTTCATAGCTGGAAACAAGTTTCTATGAACCTGCTGCTGATCCACAAAACGCTGTCTGGAAAACTGGAAGACATCATATTTTAGCACAAGCAACAAGAATTTATTTTTCGTTTGACTACACAAGGAACAAATCAAGAATGTGGAAAGTAACCAGAATTCATTTTTATTAGTGCTTGTATTTTATGTGGGTTTGTTAGTTACTGTTTTGCTAGCTAAAAGACAGATCTGATACAATAACATTAAATAGCAAAATAATTGTTAAAGATAGAAGTCAACACTGATGACTAACAGGCCTGTGCCAGAAATGCACTGTGTAGAAACCTACTAACAGCTGCCTCTGAAGAAACACAAACCAGTCTGATCAGGTCTGGGAGCCCAGGTCAAAACTTACAGAGGGTCTCTGAACACAAAGGTTCAAGACACAAAAAAACTTTTTAAATTAATAAAAAAGCAGTTTGGATTCTGAAGCTTCAGTTTAGTTACTGAAGCATTCGGACAGGGAACAAAACCAACTGCAGGTATATATCCCCCAGTGCTTAGAAGAAATGCCTCTTAATTATCCACTTTAGCTGACAAGGAGAGATTTAGTTAGGCAAGACAATGTATTTTTAGACTTTGGTTAATTTTTAATCCTGATCTTTCTGCTTGTGACAATTCTATGGATGGATAAACACATTTCAGATCTACCAGTTTTGTTCTGACACTGCCTTCACTACCAGTTCAGTTTCTGAAGCTGATTCCAGAGGACAGCCTGAAAACATCTGAGAAAAAAATGATTTGACACTTAATGAACCATGTTTTCTAAAAATACCTTACATTTCCTCCCAACATGACTCTGATACAACACACGTTGACAAGAACAAGAGCTGCAAAGTAAGACTAGCTTGATAATCACAATACTGCATCTTACCTCATTGAAATCTCCCACCCTTGGAATGTGATTTTTCCTACTTTTGCCAAGGACTGCTCCAGAATTAGAAATGACCACTGCAGCATTCCACAGAGTTCCCCCATGTATTTCATCTCGCTCCAGGATTGGAGATACCACAACCATATTGTATTTCTTTGCCAGCTACACAAATGAACACAATTCTTTTATTATACACAAGCCTGCAGTAATTATTTTCATTTTTTGTTAATAAAGAAGGATTAAAAAAAGTTTTCATCTAATACACTACTTTGCCTGTTATCAAGGGCTAATGCTTAACCCACACTGGCATGCATACATTGCCACAGTTTCTTCATCAAGGATGGATACATCACAGAGAGCTTTCCACCTGAAGGAAACCAGAAATGCAAGGTACCAACGGGGAAAAAAAGCATCCTAACAGCAATGGTCAAACTACAAAGATGACCTCTATCTATTCACAGGTATAAGAGGAGATCTTATCCCAATCTTTCATTCTGGTATACCACATGAGTAGTACACCAGAACAAAAGACACCATGGCTAGCTAAGAATAGTTATTGAAAAAAAAGTAAAAATAGCATTACATGTTAACTATAAATATTAAATAACATAGGTGTGAGTAAGAAATACAGCAACTTCTGACTGCCAGCTTACTAGCATATTGTCCTTTCCTTCAAATCACATCACTTTATTTCCCCAAACTTCCATAGTGTCATTAATTCCATAGTGAGAAGCAACACACACCTGCCCTAGATCAAACTAAACATATGCTGTCTACAAAAGCTTAATAGGTCAGTGCATATCTGGGCAAATTCTACATCAAAACAGTCTTTTGTTGTTTAAAAATATTTGTATGAAGAATAGTTCCTCCCTTGTGAAATTCGGGAATAGTTAAATGGGCAGTTTCATATGCCTTCCATGGTGAAAGGCAACAAATACAAAATAGTTTAAAAAATAATTATCAAGCACAATTGTTGTTGTCCACTTTACTTTACTCGCTATCATAATATCTGTCAAGTAAGGTAAAAATTCATTTTTGATTAATTCAGTTTTCTCAGTGGTACAAGACCAGTATATAAAGAAGAAATCTATGCTCATCACTGACAGTTATGGGCTGGGGCTGGATGTGGGGTTTTTTTGCTTGATTGTTTTTTTACCTCTTGACAAAATTTTGTTGTTGGCCCATCCTCTGCTGACTCAGCAAATTCAGTCCAAGGAAGCTTCTCTCTTGTACAAAAAGCAAAGGGCATGGCTAGAAAACACCAGTGCAAGACAAAATTTACAAAAATGTTCATGTCACTCAAGAAATACGCGCTGTTTGTATGAATACAGATATAAAATTAAACAGTTAAGAATGATTCAACTGTTTTCCTTGTTTAAAGGCAAAAGCTATTTAAAACTATTTTTAGCAAGGGCAAGGAGTTTTGGACCCACGCAGAGCAAAGTAGAACGGACAGAATGCACTTAGTGAAGTCTTACCAGAGGTAAAAATACAAAATACACCCCAGTCACTAGTGTACGCTTTCTGTGAATAACCTGTTTTCACAACTCTGGCCTTCATTTTGGTTTTCATCTCTATTAAGCCTCAAAGACTCCATTTTAATTAAAATTAGATTTTTTTTTTAAATTTTCATATCTGTCTAGAAAAAACCCAAAGTTTTAGAAGGAAAAAAATAAGGGAAGGATCATGAAGAAGGCACACACCTACAAATATCACTGTTGTGGCATACACCAGTCTTCAATATAACAGACTTCACATACATCTTCCATACAGTTCTGATAACTATGACTCTGTTTTTTTTCCTTTAGAAAGCAAATTAGTAAAGTCAGCTGTTGTATCTTGGAAGATCTCTGCTGTTTACTTACAAGACATACTTCTAGTACAGGATACTTGTTAAAATAGAAGGAACTTGACCTCTGATAACCTAGAAGGAATTACAGAAAATACTCACTCCAAGCCTCCTGGAAACAAACTATGTTGACCCCACATATTGCAGCTACTTCCACAATCTCCTCAATTCGTCTGTGCAGTGCAGCCACCTGATTGCGAGAAGCATCACACTATAAAAAAAGCTGTATATTCTAACTCACTTGTATATTAAGAGCCTGGTTTTACAAGCTTGTTCACATTAAATTCATCTTGTTCTATACTTAGTCCCATTGCTTTCAGTGGGAATAACTCAAGAAGTTATCATTCCTGATCATTGATAATATAAAGAGTTAGATACAGATTTTTAAAAGCATTTAGACGCTAGTAATAGAGAAAGCAATCCAATGGAATTCTAACTCTGTAGTTACAACATTTAAATACATGGCAACTCGTTGCTGACTGATTTGCAAATAGCCAAAAACCTTCACAGAATCAGCAAAAATTATAATTTTGCTGCTCATCGTAAACAACCTACAGAACAGTGTTAAACAAACGTGAATTCAAAGTCAAGTACTCAGAATCTTAAAATATGAGGCAAGGACAGTCCATTTCCTTGGTTATCTCTGAATCCTGCTCATACATGTGGATCTTGGACACTCTGTAGAAGTTGACAACTCCAAACTATTTTCTAAATCCCTCTGTCCAAAGAGCTAAGTAGAGTATTACCAAGAAAAAATACCAAAGCATTTATTAATTAGCCAAAAAACCACCATTTCAAAGTAATTTTTTCTTGACTATTCTACTTAAAGATAAGCATAAGCATAGCACTTCGCATTGATACTTTCAGGTGGCAATAAAAAAAAAAGACAAGTCAAGTCAACAGTGACCTATGAACTCCACAAGTGTACATTGATTTACAGAAATAGTTAACTAGTTATTTATAAGATAAAATCATTAATATAACTGGTAGTCTTTTTAAGACATGCTTCAAAGAATCCACAAACTTGATCCATATACTGAATTAATTACTTGCATCTGTGACAGGTAATCTTTAAAAAAAAAATTACCTCAGAAATGTTCTGTCCTGTCACTGTACATAACTACTACCCCAAGAGATTTTATAAATGTAATATTTTCTTTCACTTTTTTAAAGCTACTTTTAGGAGGCTATTTCTATATATGTCACCTCAATGCTTTTGTGTCCAAGATGTTAGGATATGATGGTCACCCTGTAATAAGATTTAGTTTACTGCTGTACAAAGAATAGTGAACACAGCTTTATTAATCTGTGTTTACTCTAATGGATTTTCCTATAATGGAAGATTTCTCAATTAGAACAAGAACTGCACCTGTGGTTTCCTTGGGTTGCCGTCTCTTTTGATTTGGGGTAAATGATTTTCTGTTTCATTTTAGAGGCAAAGGATTTTCATGCACAAAATCAGTGATTAAATATTTAGTTTTGGAAAAACTGCAAACAGGTTGGGCAATTCACTAGGTAAATATGAGAGATGTTTCTGAAAAAACAATAAAACCAAACGTGTCGTTTGAATTTCTTACAGTATGCTGTATTAAGATAGTGATCGGTCCCGTATTGCCAGACAATCAGCAGAGATTTCATGGGGGAGTTTCTAACGTCAACAACTGAGGTGTGTTATTTCTCAATCCAGTAGTAGAGGAGTTATACAAAAACGGCCCAGATCCCAGTTTGTGTACCTGAACTGCCACGGCTGTGTCCGTGGGAAGTGGAATTTTATTTTGTACCAGTCCTACTCGAACAATACGTGGCCTTCTCAATTGCTCTGGAGCAGCTTCAAATCCATAGCCCTGTAGCTCAAATTCTCTTTCCTGAGCTGCTGACAGAGCAGCAGCTGGCAAATTAAGTTTTCTGTTTTGAGCAGGAAACAAAGACATTTCAAGATGAGATGTTCTCCTTTTCTGCTCTGCATGCAACAGATCAAAAGGATCACAAACACTGCCTACCCCTTCAGAGACACCCAAGCTCCCACGCCCCATATGCAACTATCAGACAAGGGAACAGTCAGACAGTAGCCAACTCATTTGCAAATCTCACTATTCTCCTCCATTGCAGCAAACTCCCAGTGTCGTCCTCTGTGATTCCCAAACACTATCACCTTGCTACAGAAATCAAGGAGCACATATCTACAAACTTTCATCTGCCACCCCCAAATTACAAATGCTTTCCTTCCAACGTATGATAGATGCCCACTTCTGCAGCTCACTCATCCCGAAGCCATGACCTCCCCAGCCCCCCCTCAAAACTATCCCCCTCAGATCTTTCATTCCACTCAGCCACCTTCTCAAACCACCTCTCTACCGCACCGCTTCCCAAACTTGGACTACCTCCAAACTACCCCGGTTATCTCACCACAGCCTAACCTCACCGCAGTACCACAAGCACCACTGGACCTACCCTTCTTTTTCCTTTCAGCCCAGCCCCGTGTCGTGCGCACCCGCCCTCAAACTGACTCCTTCCCCCTCAGCTCCCGGGCTGGGCATCCCGCAGGGGGAGGAGGGAGAAGGGACGGGACACAACACCCCCCGCGCCGGGGAGAGAGAGGCGAGCCCGTCCCGGCAGCGCACCTTGCCTCTCCCCCGTAGAGGATCCGCTTCACCTCAGCGAGATCCTCCGGCGGGATGTGCTGCTCCAAGCACGCCTCCAGCGACTCCAGGCCTCCCG